CAGTTTAACGTCACCAAATCATATTATAGTGGGGCGGATATGTGACATTTTTGGTCAAGCCGTGCACTTCTGGAAAGAAGCATGAAACTTTGTCTTAGGGGGTTTTTGAGTATGTAACCACGATCTCACTCCAACCGTTCCCGCCGAAAATGGGAAAAATCAAAATGGCCAAAAAAACACATTTTTTGGCAGTTTAAAGGCTTTAAGTGCCCACATTACCATGATCTTAGTGTCAAAAATACGTATGATTTTTAGTTCAAGGAATCTAGCTCCCCCGTAGCACCGCCACTGGTGCAGCATTACTCAACTTAATAAGACTAAAATTTGAGGTGGTCCATATTCTCTCATTTGAGTGTTACGGTATTGAGGATTTGAGTTTTAGACACAAATTCAGGTGTTAAACTTCCAACTGGGTCACAACTTGTAAGAAGCAGCTGGGGCGGATGCAGAATTTGGCGTTAGGGGATGCGTGAGGGTCCACCTCACTGCCCCCACCTGGTTAGGACTGAGGGAATAAAACAATTTGAGAATAGTGACCTCTCGGGGGCGGACCCGTAAGAAAATAATTTATAGAATTTCTAAAGAAACCATTCTATAAAATTTCTACAGCTTTTCTATAGGCTAATTCTATATGATTTTCTAAACCAGCTTTATAGAGTTTTAATAGATTTTCTACAAGGTCGCTAAAGATGTTTTGATGTAGTTTAAATAGAAATCCTGAAGAACTCCGATAGAGTTCTATAGAGTGTTCTTAGAACCTCTAAAGAAAATTTGTAGAAAAAATAAAATTCTAAGAAAAATTTATAGAATTTACATAGAGTATTTGTATAGAAAAACAAAATTTTATAGAGTTTCTTTAGAAACATTTTTATTTTCTATAGAACTACAACAATTACTATAGAACTTTTTTTATATAGAATTTATATAGAATTTTCAATAATTATATCGACTTTTATAGAATTCCCATACAATTCTATAGAAAGTTAGACGAAAAAAAATCTATAGAAAGTTAATAGAATTTTCATAGAAAAATACACAGGTTTCTATAAAATGTCTACAGAATTTTGAATTTCTGTTAAAAATTCTATAGAATTATTAGTATTTCCATAGAGATTATTTTATAGAAAAATATAAAATTCTAGAGAATACATATATAAAGTTATAGCTGTCTCTTATACACATCTAGATGTGTATAAGAGACAGCCGATAGGGTGAGCGATTATATGGAAACCGAGCTTTTCTCTGATTATCGCACATAATGGGGTCCCTCAGTGGGCGGGGTCATGCTAAGAAACGTAATTTTGCTTGTTCCGTCACTGGAAGACTATTTTAGACGTGGGGCGGGGTGGGGGTGCTTTGCGGTAGTCTAGAGGTTCTCCTAGCTTCGGAAAGTTTTGTTTTTTCTAGATGCTGAGAAATACACTTGCATGCATTACGAGACTTCTATTGATGATGAATACATACACATTGAATTAATAGTTCTCCCCCATTTTACCATGGACAATTAATATTGCGATGATGAAGATGATGATGATGATGATGTGATGATAACAAGGAGGAGGAATCGTAGCAGGTGACGACAAGCTCCTGTGCAATTTTAATTAACAGGCCCTTTGGTATGATTGTCAACCGAGGCCCGTATCCCGAGTTCGTCGTCACATTTTCAATGCACACAATCAAACAATAAAATTTATATAGGCCTAATCAGTACATTCTCGACTGTCATGAAAATAACATAGGGGACCTATCTAAAAAATAACGTTGTATGTCATGCTCGGAAGCGGAAACTTTAACCTACAAGTTTGATATATGTTTTCATGTTTTTTGTTGAATGGTCTTTAATGATATTACAGGGGCGGATCTAGGTTCACATTTAGGTGGAGGGCAGACTTTTTTTTAGTAAAAACGCCAAGGTGGGGTGGGTGGGGGGTGGGTCCGGCGGTCCTCCCCCGGAACAATTTTGATTCTTAGATGGCTGGAAATGAGCTTTCCGGACTTCTGAGGTGTCTTTTAATGACTTTTAAGCTCTTCAAAATTCAAGGTTTTCCCCCTCTTGAAAACGGTCAGGTAAACTTTCTCATTCTTATTACAGTAAATAGGCCTATTTATGTGTGTATACGTACATTTGAAAAAATTGAGTTGCTTACGTATTCTATTTTCCATGAATGGATAACCCCAAAGAGGAAGGAGGGTCCAGGTCAAACATTTGATCACTAGATGGCAGGAAATGAGCTTTTCCGACTTCTGAGGTGTCTTTTAACGACTTTTAAGTTCTTTAAATTTTAAGGTTTTCCTCCGCTTGAAAACGGTCAGGTAAACTTCTCATTCTTATTACTGTAAATACTAGGCCTAGTAGCCATACTTTTTTTTAAACTTTTTTTCCCAAAAGGGGGAGGGGTCAGGACCCCCTGACCTCAGATTCGCCAATGGATATTATATTATAATATTACCACAACATAAGGAACACTATGTCACCTACGTAGTTCAGACCCATATACATTTCTATTTTCTTAGACCTAAATCATAAGGAAGTCCGCTGTCTATCCAAATTTCTGGAAATTATACGTTTTATGCATGCACTGACATGATTATTTTGTTGTTTGTTGAATGGTCTTCTTTGAAAATATTACAGTCTAATATGACCACAACATAAGGAAGTTCATTCTTTAAATGTTTAATAGATAGTAGAGAAAATTATGATTAGTTTATCAAAATCATTATACACATGTTAAATCCAATAAAAAAAAAAATTTAAAAAAATATGTTTTCAGTGCACGCGCCGACGCGGTTTTAGTTAATAAATCTTAGTTATTCTTTAATTAATACTTGTTAATAATGCGGTTCTAAAATTAATCTTGTGACCACAACTTTTAAGTTAAGAAACTTTACATTTTACCTGCCAATTAATAGAGTATTATACGCTTATTAGATATCTTTTCAATTTCTCAGTTTTTTTTTATTTATTTATTATTTTTCCACTTCCAACGCTGTATGATTTGAAATTTACATACCATTCATGTCATTGCTCTTCTTCAGATTCTGTGTTCATCTTCAGTCTCTCAGTGTTCGGTGGTTGTTTTTTACTTTCTTTTTAGTTGTACTGTATCTAAGTGTTCGGTGGTTGTTTTATACTTTCTTTTTAGTTGTACTGTATCTAAGTGTTCGGTGGTTGTTTTTTACTTTCTTTTTAGTTGTACTGTATCTAAGTGATCGGTGGTTGTTTTTTACTTTCTTTTTAGTTGTACTGTATCTAAGTGTTCGGTGGTTTTATACTTTCTTTTAGTTGTACTGTATCTAAGTGTTCGGTGGTTGTTTTTTACTTTCTTTTTAGTTGTACTGTATCTAAGTGTTGGGTGGTTGTTTTTTACTTTCTTTTTAGTTGTACTGTATCTAAGTCTGTTCGTAAGTTTTAAGCTCTCGGTCTTAGGCTATCAACTCCATTAAAGACGTTTTTGTTTTTTTTGTTTTTTTTTTGTTTTTTTTTATAACGTATAGCATTAGTAAAAATAATGAAATAATGATTCATTAATCAAAAAGTAATAATTAAAATAATATGTTTTCGCTTTGTTGTAACTTTGGAATAACAAAATATAATAAAATTATATATGCCTTTCAATAAGGTTATAAAAATCAACGCACATGTATAGCCTATCCTCCCTGTGATTGACTTTGTATTAACCAAACATTGTGATATAAATCATAATAATACTGTAATAAAAGAACTCAACAGTGTACCGTACGTTATCGCGCAGCCGATTTAATTACAGTCCCTCTTTGATTAATACTTAGACAATGCAAAAAGTTTATTTTGTCTATATATTTTTGTCTTTGGTTTAGGTAGGTGGCATTTCTGACATATTTTATTATCACAATGAAGATTTTATGGTAGTTTTATGTAGGCCTATGTTCAATTGGATTCCTAAACTAAAGCATACAGTAGGTGTGGACACTAAAGTCATGGTAGTTAGGGCACTCGTCATTTTAATACTAAAAATGTGTTTCTTTGGTGGCCAATTTGAATATTATATTTATTTTGCATTGAAGATGTACGTTATTGTGTTTTATATATGTTCTTCTTGAACTGAAGAACATAGGTATTGACACCAGGGTCATGGTAATGTAAGCACTTAGAGCTTTAAATTGAAAAATTGGGTTCTTTTTTTAGCGGCCATTTTGAACATTTTAATTACTTTTTTTGCATTTTCACGATGAAGATGTATGTATGTATGCTCACAAGATGTTTTATTGGATTCCTTGAACTAAAGAACATGATTATCAACACCAAGATCATGGTAATGTGGGCACTTTAAGCTTTAAACTGCCAAAGTGTTTTGGCGGCCATTTTGATTTTTCCCATTTTCGGCGGGAACGGTTAGAGTGACATTGTGGTTCCCGCAAGTTTTGGAATCGGCATACTCAAAAACCCCTGAGAACAAAGTTCCATGCTTTTTTCCAGAAGTGCACGCCCCAGTCACATATCCGCCCCACTATTATGGAATTAGTAGTATTGGGCTAAGCTGTGGGCCGACCCATTAACAGGTTTGTTTTATCAAAGACGCGAACGTTGGTGAATGTATACACATCTCATGTGAGCAGTTTTATATGGAACTTCTGCTTATATTTGTTTAGTTAAACATGGCGGGTTTACTTTCTTTATAAAATAAAATACAAAATTTAATAACTGAGACGGTTCATGATGTTTTATTGGGTTAGGCCTATGTGATCGGACATAAGACTTTGGTATTAGGCCCTATAATGATTTGTGAGCGTATTTCTCTTTAATCTTACATATTTTGTTGCCATTGTGAATTAATAGTGACATTTTTATCGGAGAATGTGCGGTCCGGTGGCGTAGCTGTATTAATTGACCGATGCTGATGGGAAGGGGTTTTCGGAGGGAGGGGAGACGCCTGGGGCTCAAACATTTTCTAGGTTGTTGTTGGAGTAGCATGCAGTTTATATTTGTTGCCATATTTTTATCATCTTCTTTATGATTTCAGATTCTCGTCGAAGATGAGTGTTGAAAATAATGGCTAATCATACTATGTCAACAGATGATCCGATAGAGTCACTCACAAAAGATGAATACTATAGAAGACAACGCTTGATTCGATATCGGTATACTGCGCAGGAACGCAAACGCCTGCGTCAGCAACAAATCAAGGACGATCTACGGGGACTTCGTGTGCCTTCAATAGTTTGCTTAGTTGTTGGTGTTCTATTTACTCTTGGAAGTGTTGCCATGACCGTATGTGGATACTATGCAGAATCAATTGCAACACAGGATGCTGATAATAGTACTGTTTATGTGGACGAACATTTGAAGGAACACCTTGAGGATTTGAAAAAGGTGGGCCCGGTTCTTGTCGGTTGTGGGATTTTTACTTCAATGTGTGCGCTCGTTATTGTCTTTGAAACGAGGAACGATAAGAATGAGTCGACAGGATCTAAAGAAGAAAAACACAATAATACACCTTGTTTGATGGAGTACAGTTTTGGAGCAACGCAAGACGACAGCAACGCTGGTGCTGAATTGAAACAACTGACAACACTCGATGTAGATAACCTTCCACAAACGCCTATGCAACATATCAATGATATTAAACTTGAGAACGAAACTAAAGTATTATTAACTGCCGAACCAATTGCCGAAAATAACTGTTTACAAACCACAGAGCAAATAACTAACTGCAGTTTAAAACAAAGTCAATCTTACGAAACTAATAATCATGAATTTGAGTATGACAGAGCGGATGTAAGTGATTCGAATAATCGAAATACAACTCAAAGTAAATTTCCATTAATAAATTGTGCGCCAAAGTCCCAACCTTTACCGCCATTGGATTTGAAATCAAGTCGTGAAGAAGTTGCACAAGAATCGGGGATCAGCAGAGTGCCACGGGGAAATAAAAGGAAACAGAAACGTAAGCCACAGTGCGTTGATACACTTTCAGAAAAAGCCAATCAAAAGAAAAATCAAGACATTATGGAATTACCAATTGAGAAACCATCACAAAATGATAAAGGAAATATCGTAGATGAAGGTATTAAAAGCGAGACAGAAAACGACACTTTCAAGTTAATAGAAGCAAGCGGTGATGTAGATCAGAAGAAAGGAAAGCGAAGAAGTTTACGAGGTTCACTAAAAAGAAAACGGAAATCATCAAATACGGTTCAACCGTCCGATAATGCTGCATTTGATGTCACGCTAGCGGAAAATGATGACGTTACGACGGAAAGACATCCGACTTCACGATCCCAACCATCAAGCTCAACGTTTTCACGCAAGTTCAGTAACGAAGCTTGGCCGGATGGATCAAACGACAGCAAAAGTGTCGGAAAGACACCTTTAAACGGAACATTCCGCTCTGAATCAAACCTAGTCGGCCTATCCTCAAATACAGCTCAAAAAGTCTTGGTGGAAAATCCAGATAATTCAAATATATCAAGTTCACGAAATGTAAGAACTAAAGATAGTGAAATATCGTCCGAAAATGGTGAAAACGTATGAACTATTTGTATCTAAAACAAGATATTTCATCTATTACATATTATCTTGAAACATTTGGTTTTTGGGCAGTCAGGATTGGAAGGGCTGGTCAGCATTCATATCACCTTATATAACCGGCAATAACATTCCTTAGTCCTAAAGCAATCTAATTGTAATTTATTTGGCATTGTAACATTTAGTAAATTTATTATAGTTATTTGAGGAAAAGTGTATATTTATTGACATAAGTTGTGTAAATCACTTCGATAACATGTGTTTGTTCAACTTGGGCTAAATTTGCAAATTCATTTATTAAAAATAGGTTCAGTTGCATGGGATTAGTTAATGATTTATATATTCATATCGGAACCTGCGTTATCGATGACAATATATTTGGAAAATATAACTTATGTGAATTAACAAGACAAATAATTTACTTATTCAAAAAAAATATTTGGATAAATTAAATTTGACTAGTTTTAAATTGAAACATACGAATAAATGATAAGGTCAGGTTGGAGAATAACCTATAGCTTGCAGCGTCATTGTGCTGAATTGCGTATGGGTGTGGTCCGTGACTACCCTAGCAACCGTAAATATCAGTTTAAAAGGAAATCAGTTTATAATGAAAGAAAGAATTGTTACATACAATTCGTATTTTGTAGATTGTTAAGAAACTTGAATATAGCGGCACACAACTCTTAGTTTTAACACTGCATGACTATTGTCAATAGTCGAAGCATAAAAACAAACAATACTAAATAGCATACCACGTCTGTATTATTAAGCGTTACTATGTAACTAATTTTGCAACTAATGTTTAACTGTTATTAATTATTTATTTAAAAGTTTATTCAAAACACTATTAACTCTAAGGATCTCATGACGTATGATTTGTTAGCATCTCATAACTTAAGCCGGGCTCTTACTGTGTCCGATGGTCGCACGACCGTCGCACGACGAATCCAACTCCGCTCCCTGTGTGCGCTAAGCGACGCAACACCGTCTGCAATTGTCGGTGGTCGTCTGAACGGATCGTCATTAAAAACGATCAGATGCGCGCGCGTCGTCGCGTTGTGTTCTTCATAGAATCGCGTCGGCCGGCGACCGTCGGGTAAAATGAGTTCTCGGCTTCACACATTTTATTTCTCAATAAAGAAGGGTCGAGAAAGATATATTCTAATGAGACACAGGTCGAAACGGGTTTAATTACAACATAGAGTATCTCTTCAATAATGATCTAAATATAACTTGCATTACAATAAATAGTACTTACGAGCCATTAAGATCTGATGAGCCATTTGTAGAAAGAATCATCTTTTCAATGATATGTCTATATTCGTCATATCAGGAAGTATCGTGCAATTATTAAATGCAATCCTTTTTGTCAGTCTGATAGTAATGGACCTATATTCGCAGTTTAAACTTCGTCCACGCTCTAAAATTGTATGTGAAACTTGTGCTTGATGTGCCCATATATGGTCATGATGATGTCATAGGCCTACTACACCCAAATATGGGCATATCACGTTCATTTGCCACACAAAATTTGAGTGTGTGGACATGCAAAGAGAGACTCTTGTATTTTGCACTCTATAAATGTAAAAACATTAACCATTATTCCGTTGCAGTTGGTAACAAAGTTCATAAATATTTTAGTTCTTCTTTGGCTTTATGTTAAGGAGGTGTACTGATTGAGTTCTGAACGTGTACGTTGGATTAAAAACTATTAAAATGTTGGAGGGGTTAATTAACGTCACCCTATATTCGTAATTATACATCGAT